TTAATTTTTTTTTTTTTTTTTAAGACAGGCTACATGCCTAAGTTACCCCACAAAAAAAAGGTTTTGACCTGTAGAGATGTTCTTGATTATTATTTCTCATACTTCTCTTGGATTCAGAAAGCTAGTATTCAGCGAGGTCCATTCCACTGAAAAAGCTTCTTGTATATACACAACTGGCAATTTAAGACTAACGCTGTTTTCAATGCATACTTTTATTGTATGTTAAAGTTCTTCCTCCATGCACGGAAGGAAGAACAGCCTGCATTTTCAGACACAAACCTAAGAGGAGAGAGGCAGTTCCTTCATGGGAGCTAAGAAAAGAAAGCCAACAGACACCCTTCCCAATACATGCGTTCAGAAACACACAGCCTTGAACTACAATGGAAAAGGCTGCCAAAGAAGTCAGTTACAACCCCATGCCATAAATGTACCTCTACAAAGCACCTTTCTGGGGAGACGTTCATTGCCATTCAGTGTTTCAGTTTAACAATAGCAGGTGATACTTTGCAATGAGCATTACTTTAAAGAAATCCCAACCACAGGATAGACAAAGAGGGAGCCAATAAAACAAAAGCCTTTTGAAGGAATCTACCTTACACAACTGAGAAATGTAGGCTAATACAGCCTCTTAAGCTAAAAATGAAATAAATAAAAAGTCAGCTTCTTGGCTATGCCTAGAAATTGAATACAAATAAAATTTCTGAAGTTTTCTGTGGAAAATAAGTAAATGAATTACTATATAACTGCAACTTCCAGCTACATCAGGGCTTTTAAGGAAGAGAGAAACAACAGCAAAGAGGTATATTTATTTGTTGCGCTAGATAAGCATTTCAAGAGCAAACCAAACCTTAATATAGTGACCCCAATATAATTTTTATAAGATGTATCTCTGCAAAACAGTCTGTTTAAAGGCTTAAATAAAAAGTGGTCTTAAAGAGACAGGATGACAAGCTATGCCATCTATCTCAGCAGATCTATAAAATAGCGTTAAAATGCAGCAGCTCATGAAACTGTCATGAGCTACAACCCTAGGACTGGTTTCCTCCTTGACAGCATAAAACTGAAAACACACATTACATAGAGAACCCAAGCAAGTAATTTCAGCACAGTCCAGACATACTGGGTACGTTTTTGCTTTCCCCCACTGACAACAGAAATCAAAACCCAGCAGCTCTTAAAGAAATGTGAATCTGGATTATAACTCAGAACCAGAAGTAAAAGGAAGAGATCTCCCCTACTGCCCCAACTGCTTCATCCACAAAAACCCTTTACCAGCAGTACAAGACACCCAGGCTTTTAATCCTAGTGTACATATCAAGGTCAGCAGAGAAAAGTCCAACTCTGACCCAAACAGCCGTGCAACCACAGCATTAGCACAGCTTTGCACCAGGCTCCCATTAATAGAGAGATCTGCAGCCTATATTTGTGTCCAATCAGACTCAAAACCATCTGGCCTCAGTCACTGGAGATGGCTTAGCTACAGTGTCTCAAGTAAGACTGAGAGGTCAGATCTGTGGGAGGAGGAGAGCATTGAGGAGTATGAAATACAGCGTGTTGTAGACCAGTGGGGCCTGGAAGAGTATTCAAGGGAAGCATCCCTGCCTGCTTACCTTGTCCTTACGCTTGTGTCTCAGAAATAGCCAGTGGCAGATGAGGAGACAATCCATCAGCATAGCCCATGATATGCAAGGTACCTCAACACAGCCATTCGTACACCCATTTAACTTATTCCCCAGCAGCAGATGCCTCAGAAAGGCATATATCAAGGGCTGTATATAGGGTAATATTTCCTCTGTTGTACATACCCATTCCCAGATAATCCAGCTGAAGTGCTTCCTCACTAAGAAAAGTTTATGTTTAATATATCTCACTATTTTTAATGTTTTCCTCTTTGAAAGCAGGAAGATGCCTCAAAAACAGTAACAAGGCACAAAACTATCAAATTAAACCAGTCACATACCTGTTCATCAGAACCTCCAGAGGCAAAAAAGTCTCCAGTTCTTGAAAAGGCTACACAGGTGGCTGGCCCCTGCAAATAGATTTAAAAGATAGGTTTAAAAAAAACGTGAAAGAAAAAGTGTTATAAAGCTCTATTCATTATAGCTTTGCAAGGTATTACCCATTTGACAGCAGCAATCTAAAGGCAAAATTTAAAAAGCTCTTATCTGTCAGGTAAGTGGGCCACAACTAACACGCTAAGCTCACTGGCACTTACTTACCACTGCCCACATTTTTGCCCCCAGTTCAAGAATTTTTCTTCTTTCACTTTTCAGTATCTATGGCATTAAGACAGACAGGAACAAACCAAGTTTTACAGCTTCAGGCTTTTACTTCTTCCCCCTCAATCATTCTCACTTCCCTTTAGAATTAGAAATACCTAAAACTCCTGTTCATCTATTAAAAGCAGTGACACTGTTGAGTTTTGTTAAATGCAGCCTTCAGTTAGCCACTTGATGGAAAGGTTTGAAGGGGAAAGGAGATTTAAACACAGATACACACAGAGCAGCAAAGGGCATATTGAGAAAGACTGTTAGAAGTAAAATACCCTCACACCTGACAATTCTAGGCATTCACGAATCATAAGCCGTGTCCTATAAAAATATAAGTTTTTTTAAAACAAATTTGAGGAGTAATGAATCCACCTTTCAGGCTCCAACTGTCAAGCCTTCAGAATTTATGTTTTCCAAGCTCCTCCTCACACCATGAAAACTAGAACCACAAAAAGAAAGTGCACTCAGCCAAGATTTTCACATAATTATGAAAGTCCAGGGGCCAGAACTTCAAACATTACCCAGAATCTTCAAGACATTTACACCACAAGACAACATATTTCACGGACCACTGTGTGCACCAGATTCTCCGTGGAAAATAGTATCTTCTCTCCCCATGCTTTCCCAACAGCCTTTCTTTGACCATACACAGCTGTCACTAAGGGACAGCATAAAACACGACTGATGATGAAAATAGCCAACAGGTAGGGCTACAGGCAAGATGCAAAAGAATCAGTTCTACCACGAAGGAAAAGGTTGTGGGTTTGCTTTTTTTTTTTTTATATACAGTCATCACATGCTCTCCTATATATTTCTAGGATATTCCAGGCAAACTGCTCACTGCAAAAGACCCAAGGCTTAAAGCTCTTGCCCACTCCACCACAACATAACTTCGAAACATGCCTGACCAGCTATCAGCCAAAGCAATCAATTTATATCAATTAATTTGGCCAAGGTTAGAAGCATTTTAAGTCAAGGAATCTGTACAAGCAGAATAACTGAATGCACAAGATTCAGTATTCAGAGCAGAATGCAATTACTCATTTTATTTCAGACTTGGCAGTCAAGAAGTCCACAAAGTACAAGACCACTGTTTCCAGAACAGGAAGAAGAAAAAGCCAAGGCTACCTGAGGAGCACTGGAAAGAAGAGCAGGTCACTGAATGGCAGACAGAGCAGCATCTGCAGAATATACTGTATTTGTATATTAGCTTCTACTTAGATAGTACTACAGAATACAGCAGAGTTTTGCAGGAGGCAGTTATTCTCTTTGGATGCCAACTAGCAGGACAAAGTCAACACAGGGGGGACATTCAAAGCCATCAAAACCAAAACAGAATCACTGCTTCATATCCACTTATGCATGGAGCATGCAGCCAAGCAATGATAGAGGCTTCAAACCAAACAGGCACCTGCAGCAGCACAGAAGAATGCAAGCAGCAAGCAGGCAGTCCTTACACCACCATCATTTGCCATGTTTAAGCCACAGGCTAATGATCTATGCAGGTTTGAGTTAGTTGTTAGGTTTAACTGAAGAATGGAAGGCTGGCTTGAAACTGCTTTTCTCTTAGTAGTTTCACAGAAGAGATGCCAGAGTTAATGCATTCAGGATCATCTTTGTATAGCACAGGCACTTGCATTTTGAAGGAGCCTTGCTCTTAAAACAGTTCTGAGAGTTTTTAAATGGTGCTGACTGCTACAGTACTGCTTGAGTAAAAGTACGCATTTCACACCACGCATCTATTTTAATACGTTCTCAACCTTCCAGAAAGCACGCAGGAGGACGCACATAGGAAGGATGAGGCAGGTGCTCCGAGATGCAGTTAAACAGAGCTGGGAAATCGTTACGTGTGTTTGAGCACAGGCACAACAAACTGTTCTGCTTAGAATAAACAGCTGAGGACCCAGATAGTGAAGTTATGTCAGCTACTGCACATGTTACTTTGCAGACTGTCCTAAGCCTGAGCTTTTGCCCAAGCTGAAATGGGCAGAGGCAGGAACGAGCACTTCCAGAGGCTGCCTACAGCCAAGTTTGCTGGGAAAGCAAGCTGAACTTGTGACAGGCTGAAACATTAAAAAAAAAAACCAGAAAAGCCACAACACAACCACCAGAAAACCCCACCACACAAACACACCTCCTGACAGAAGTAGAGTGATCCTCTTTCAAGTAAGATCATATATCTCAGAAGGCAAGTAAGAAGCTTCTCCTCACCCTGTATCAAGTTGCAAGGACAGCCTATTCTATTAAGAGTTCGCATCTTCCCAATGGGCATTACATGGAAATCTCACATCTAGTTTGTTCCTGGTTTCCCTTCTTTCTCTCCTACTTTGTAAAAGTGAACTTGTCATTATAAATCCTGAAGGTAGACAAATACCCAAAGATTGCATTTGGGATAAACACTCAACTCTCACTGCAGCCTGTGTCCCACAGTTCTGCGTGCTTTCAAATATGCTGGCACAAGGTTATGCCAGCAAAACTAGAGTCTTGATGTGGTCACTCCCAGTGTGAAGTGTTTTACCTTAATGTGTTTTAAAGGAAGCTATTTCCATATTATCATTTCACCTGCAGCGATTTCAAAAGGTTTTGAAGCCTTCTAATAGCAACATCTCACTCGAGAGATCTTGCCAGAATTGATCTAGTAGCACGCAGTTTCAAGATGTATGCACGGTCATGATGTGACTAATCAACTAACACAGCATTAAATAGTGCAGATATTGCAAACCAAAGATACCACCATCAATCAGCTGAAACAAAATATGCCCCTGCCTTCTAGTCCCACCCACCTTCCCCAGCAGTTCAGCTCTCTGACCACACTGTCAGGAATGGAGAATCTCTAAAAAACAACAAACAAAAGCAAAAGATAAATAAGCAATAAGGAAGGGCAAAAACAAGTACATAGCCAGAAAAGTGCAGTGGTGAACATTGCTCAAAGATAACAGAGCTGAGGATACAGAAGCTGCACTGTGACTGTAATAAACCAGTGAGGCTGGGAGGGTGAAAAAACACATTCAAGACATTGCTTAAAATGTTCAGGAACAAGCACAAGTGAGGAATACCAGAGAGGAGCAACATTTCACAAAATTATTTTTATCAGTCTAAGTATTTCAGTGTATTTAGACAAAATTTAGCACAATACAAATCACATCAGAACAGGCAATGAACTGACTCCAAAGTCATGGCATTCAGAAAGGAAAAAAAAAGAGTTCGACAGAACATATTCCTCCCAAAATAGAAACTGATATCAAAGACTGAATGTGCCTTTATAAATTGAAAGAAGGGGAACAAACAAGTCTATAGACACAACATCCTCTACAGATTTGTTGACATAAATTAAGTGAAAAGTGTTTTTGCTACATACATTTACAGCACTCTTCCCAGATATAACAGGTTTGCTATAGCAACATACAAATAATAGTTTGCCAAATACTCTCACAATTTAATATAAACACACAAAACAAAAGTAAAAAGCTACACATGACAGTGATTAGACACAGCCTAACTCCCATTTGTTCCAGGTAAGCATGGCAGAGATCCAACAGGTTTCTGATGCAGTCCTGGACAACAGGTACATGGTTGGAGACTGAAGAATTCAAAACTGCCTTCAGATTTTTTTTTCCCTTTAAACTTACTGTTTGCATCAAAAGTGTCAGAAAGCAGTAGTTGCATATTCTTCTATACAAGTTGTAGGGAGAATTTTAAGCTTGTTTCCCATGCAACTAGAACATGTGTGATACAGTAACCTTCTAAAGGACCGCTTTATTCCTCTTTCTTTAGCAAGATACAAATGCCCTTCTATTAGTATTTCCTGAGGGTTCAGAAGTTCCAGTTCTGCATCGTGATTGTGCTAGGTGCTGCACACAAGCTGCTAGCACCAGTCCCCAAACTCCTACAGCTTCTTACCTTAGAGTAAACAGCAAGCTGCAGAAAAAAAGGATTGGACAATGAGATACACGAAGTCAGCAGTAAGGAACACTTCTATTTAGTCCTTAGCAGGCCAACAACATGAGGACTGTTGAGCTTTTGTGCATGTCAAAGTTTGAAATTATAATAATAGTTTTGGTGATACTGGGAGAGAGCTGCAGAAAGTTTGAGAGAAAGTACAGAAGAGAGCAAAATATCATCCACTGGAAACGCTGAGTGGGAAGAACATTGTCACTAATCAATATTCAACTCATCTCTAGTGAAAGAGGAGTACCAGGCAGGGTGGAGATAAGCCCCAGGGAGCCTTGAAAAGGACAAATTGCTTGCACACTGGATGCAGCAAAGAAACTGGAAACAAAAAAAGGAAGTCATACAGAAGGAATGATAACAGAATCAAACCTAGTCCTTTGCAGCAGTGTTCCCAGTGAACAAGATTTGGGCAAGGTCAGATAGCCATGCCACGGTAGCTGAAACACCAGGTGACATCCCACTTCTAGCTGCATACGTAGGCAAGAAGGGTGAAGCACAGCACGTTACACAATCTAATTTATGTGCAGACTACCCCCCAGAGATAGAGATTATACCTTCTCCTTGTTTTCCCACTTCCTCCAGAAGGAGACTAGTGATCACAAGGCCTTTATTGCCCTAGCAATTGACAGGTTGATCAGCTTACACAAAACACAGTGTGGCCTTAGAAAAAGACGTTCAGAACTATTCTGAATGGCTTGAATGCATTCATCACCTAGAGAGATGGGATCCGAAGCCAGGACACAGATTACAAGACTGAATGAGTGACTAGCAGGATGCTATTAGCATCAGTAACAATTGACACAGGGAT